CAACTCTAGCACCAACATGCAGTGTTCGCCATAACATATATTTACTACTACACACGCTGAGAAGAAAAACATTACAATTTTCACTACCTTACTGTTGCTTACGCGTAGATAAAACGTAGACAACAAACCCCTTAGGAAAGTTATCACTTGCTACATAGCTAAACAAACATATTCTATAGGATGCTTTTATAGGATTCTATACCCGATTCTATATCCCTTACTATACCTCTCTTAAGCATCGTAAGTCGGATTCAGCTCACAATTTTATTTTATTTCTTATGCCAGCTGATTTGGAACTCAAATGCGAGCTAGCTTCGAGTTTGCTCAAGTCATTTATTTTTTGGGCCAAAATTCATGAAACTTTACTCTTTTTAGATGTCTAAGGCCGTAACAGTATATCCTATAATGTAAATTTCATAGGATGTTCATTTTTCTACCTAGCATTGACCGTCAAGTGACATATTATGGTAAGGTTACAACCACCTTAATATTGTTCATTCAAATTTTTGAAGACAATGTAGCAAATGGAATGTTATCAAAGTACAGTGAACATAGAAATTCAACCGCAATCTTTATCCCATGTTTAGGTTTCAGTTTGCAGCACGTAAGTTTTAAAATCCATTAGACAAAGTTTCACTTTCCCGAAGAGCAGATTACAGATCGCCGTATGAAGTAGCCATCGCAAGTGCAGCAGCGGAGCAGAGCCTAAAATGCTCACGGCGCAAGGTTCCAACTGGGCTGAACCTGATCAATTCGAGCAGATCCAACTGTCTGGCCCTCTCTCAGCGAGAAGGTACGAACATTAAACGATACGCCCCGTTGAGGGCTATGAACGATGGCTCCGTTTGAGGAAGGCGCCCATTACTTGTGAGTTAGAGACCTAAGGTGAAATGTCGAAAAACGGTTGCAAGTTTACGCTTTTTCACGTCCTCACCGTTTCTCTTCTGCTTGTAAGGAGAAAATTCTCACCTGATTTTTGACAAAAAGCGTCACAAATCATGGACAGACCATTTTTTACGAAAGCTTCGTGAACCTTATAGTCAAACACAAGTAATAGGACACATCTCCAACTGATAGTGGCAG